AAACAATGGAAGGAAACTAATCAAGGAGAGAAGTAGCCTAGAACTAAGGAGAAATTTCCTAACAGTGAGAAAAACCAACCAGAAGTTGGTTTCTGCCTCCAGAAGTTGTAGGTGCTCCAGAATAGAAGTCTTTCAAAAAGAGACTGGAGTGGATAATCATTTATCTGAAACGATATAGGGTCTCCCGCTTAAACAGGTGGTTGGACTAGAAGACCTCCAACTCTATTATTCTATGTTCTATGCACGTATGCACTATATCTGAAAACTTTGAAAGAAGCCATTCAAAGTTTTTGAATATGTTGCTAATAATACACTCATAATACAATATGCAATACTCTAATACCAGCAATACATTTTTTTTCCTGAACTGAAGTCTGCTTTTAAATAACCACACCAAAAATCAGTGCGGGGAAAAGAAGATGGCCTGGAAAAAGTTACACTTTTAAATTAAATCCTCTCTAACGCCAGCTCCAATCTCTTTGTGTCTTCTTCAAGACACTTTTCATCATTGATTTTTTTTTTTCTGAGAACATCCATAGAACTGAAATGTGATGATCCCAGAGTAATTTGGGATCATGAACTTATTGTTGGAAGCCAGCCCTTACTTTTTTTAAGTTAACAGAATACCTGCAAAATAAAATGACATAGCATTGGACACATGAGACCCATGGGTACAGGATCATTACCAATCTCCAAGGTAAACAAACCACACACCTATATATCAGCCTCCTCCAAAAGTTAAGATGACAGGATGATTCCCCTCTCATCCAAGTGTATAAATCTTGCATTATCAATGGAACTAAACCATCTCCATTCCGATTATGGTTTATTTTCCAACACTGCCATATTGTGACAAATCAGAAAATCTGAGGCACTTCTTCTCCCCATGAAGGTCCCACAGTCAAAGCTGATATGCAAATATCAGTAGAATCAACTGAAATGTTATCTCCTCCCCTCCACATAATATCAAAAGCCTAACTTTATGTTATATTTAACATGCATGGTATAAACATGTACTTTTAATATGATGTTACAATGAGGTGAGATTAGAGGACACAGTGGAGGTACATTTAACCATCCAGTTCCAAATTCGTTAAGGGAAGTAGCAGGTCTCCTTATGTTTCCATATCCATATAAAAATCAGGGCCCATGCACTTATTTTTTGAACGCATGTTCCACTTTCCAAAAATGGTGCATTTAATGTTATGTGCAACATAACTTAAAAAACCTTTCCAGAGAGGAAGTAACTTAGATGAAAAATACTTAAACGTACATTGTATGCAAACTGAAAGTTATATTGTATGTAAATAAAATTCCACACAACTAAGCATATGAGGATTAATTTTACAGTACCTAATAAACAGGGTGCTATATTTGTTCTTGGCTTTGTTGCGGCACTTAAAAGATTTTTAAAAAATACAGCCACTTTGGTGATAAATTTTCTTTATAATGCAGAAATGCTCTGGGTCATATTTTCAATTCTTCTTACTCCTCTCTGTTCCTCCAAGAGCTATTAATTCTCTGGGCTTCCATTATTAATTAGGATATCTTATTTGCAGAGATGGGGAGTTTGTGCCTAAGCCAGAACCCTGGTCTCCCAGGCTACCTTCCACTGAGTTCTATGTGAGTTACACCTGGAAATGGTACCCATGGAACTGGGCTTGAAGTTGCATTGACTCAAGCACACCCACATCCATTTGGCCAACACTCGTGTCTATTATTAGTAGGAGCAACTTTTGGAAGAGTCTTTGGGATGTGTTAGATGCCCTGGAGTGCAGTTATTATGCCTGTCCTAAAGGCAACCCTGGGGAACTTTGGAAAGTGGGAGGTGCTTATGATCAAACAACCCAAAGTAAAATTCCTAAAATGCTTTGATGTAAGTGAAGTTTGGAAACTATAATAAACTGATGCACAGTTAAAGAGAACCCTTTGGGACATCTACAGGTATACACAATAACTAAATGTTCCATCTTTCTGTTCAGCAAGACAGCTCAAAGCAGCTAACAACACTGGTCAAAAGTTGAAATTAAAATATAATGCAATAATAGAGAGTATTGTCAACAAGGCAGATTCATTGCCTTCTTAATAAAAGTAACCTATGGGACAGAAGCTTCCAGAAAAGCTCCTTGGTCCTAGGTCAAAAGAATGAGTCTTACATAGGAAAGCAGAGGTGAGTTGTCCTGAGAGAGGGTCAGTTCAGAGTGCCTACTTAATCCCAAAGCTATTTTGCTACCAAGGAAGATGAGTTTCCCAACCATTAACCTGCCCTGTTGTACAGCAAGTCCCTGAGGAATTTTGAGGGCAACCTAGGCCCTTCCGGAGAAATTCTGACCAGGGCTGCTGCAAGAAAAGCGAAATGAGCATTTAAAGCAGGCAGCCTGCAAGAAGCCAAGGACCTGGCTCTCTTGGCTAGTATGCCTCCCATCTCAACCCATCTGTGGAGCCAAAATCTTGCTTATCAGCAAAAACAGTTGATGAGGGAGGCCCAGATGAAGAGAAGGGTAGTGGCAAGCAGAGCCCCATTAGGCCAACCACCTGTTGCACCCAAAGCCAGGGAGAAACCCAAGGAAGAGTTTCTGGGTGCCCCCCCCCACTCATCCACCTCCCTACCTTGCAGTCTCTGATGCAGGAGCGCACAGAATAATCCTCGGCCTGCAGGTATTTCTCCAGCAAAAGCTCGAACTCCTCGTATTTTTCCTGAGCGTGTTGGTCCAGCCTTTGATAGGCCTCCAGGCAGCTGCTGCAGGCCTCCCCGCGCTGGGCTCCCGCAGCGGCCGACAGGAAATCCATCAGCAGGTTCGACAAGCTGCAGTCCAAGCTTTCCGGGCCGGCCATGCCGAGCAGCAGGTCCCAGGCCGTGTAAGCGTCACAAAAGGGGAGGCGGAAGGTCCGAAAGTGTCCCTCCAGGAAGTCCAGCTGGGGAGAGGAGGCGGCGGCGGCGGCGGCGGCGGCGGCGGCGGCCGCGGACAGCCGGAGAGGCACGGCGGCGAAGGCGGCCAGGGAGCCCTGCTGGAAGAGGCGCCGCTGGGAGCAGGCCGAGCTCAAATCCGGCCGCGCCGCGGCGGCGACGGCGGAGCAGTGCGGGGGGGGCGGCGGGGCGGGGCCCTCGGCACTCCGATT